ATCCCGCAAGTCGTCCCCTATCTGTTTCTCGCTCTCCAAATTCCAAATCCGCAGCGAGCCGTCCCCTGAACAAGTGATAATCCGATGTCCATCGAGCAGGTGTACAACGGCCCACACAACTCCACTGTGTCCTACAAAGTTCCCGTGGGGCATGATGTGCGGTGCCTCTTCCGCACTAGCGTAAGGATAAGATATCTTTGTTTGGGGTTCCATACTAGCACTGGGTAGAGAAATCTTTGATTGCCGTTCCGCCTTAGCACTGGGCAAAGGGATCTTTAATGTTGGTTTTGTTTCAGCAGCAGGCACAGGTATTGACGGAGATATCTCCATCTGCAATGACGGTTTTACTATCTCAGCGGCAGGCAGAGATATCGACGGAGCCTCTATCTTCGGTATCTGTTCCTCCCCAGCGGTTGGCAAAAACATGGCTACTGTTCTATTTGAGGATTGTCATCTCAAATCTTTTCCGCTAAAGTCTAAGTGATCACTCACAGACAGGTGTTTTATCTAACAATGAGCCAGAGGTTGAAAGATGTGACGGTCACTGGCGTTTGTGGTTAATTCAGAATCGAGTGCACTGGAAGTTCAACTTGAGTCCATCAAGTATGTTGCTTACTCGCTTCGTACACCCATCTACTATAGTACTAGCACTTGAAGAAGCACAAACACAGCATCACAACTCCTTAGACAATGACAACGACATTCTAGAATTGACCAGGCCTATATACAACGCTAGTTCTATATTTTTTACGTGAGAGACATGTCAGTCGCACCCCAGATTTCAGTCCGCCTTGCCATCGTACGGTTCACATCTCACACAGTATCAAAATCAGTGGTCAAGCAGCTCATCACTTGTTTCCTCCCTAGGCATTCACCGTCTTGAAACATAAGCCGAAGGACCAGTCCATCCCAAGTCGGTTGCTTCACGTTGCTGCCTCAGTTGAGGCTTATTCACAGATATGACGCGGCTACGCAGGTTATCTCCTGGGTCTTCAGTCCCTTTTTTCCCTGTCCAACGATAGCCAGGCAACGTGCGGTGAGGACGCGTGGAGGAATCATGCGCTCTCTCTAGAAAGAGAACTTGAGTCCTTGAAACAAAAGCGGGAAGACGACGAAACAGGTGTGTTTGAGTCCTCGAATATCATTCCATCCGCAAGCCTTACTGTCATTTTGCAGAACTCATTCGTCTGCGGCAAAACGCGACCAAGGACATGCCAGACGACTCGGACGCTGCTCCCTCAAAAAAGAAAACGAAGAAGGGTGGTAAAGCTCAGGAGCTTCAATTTCAGGACGATGACTGGCCTGCAAAACGGGAAGGTGCGAACCTCATATTCGCCTCGTTTTCCTTGACTCACGCCTCGGGGAAGAACGCCTCAATGCGACGGGCCAATCATCACCGTCCCTCGCCGCAGCATTCACCTCCCTTCGAAGTGTTCTCAGCTCAGTAAGTTCGCAGACAGGTGACGACCCACCACACAACTCGCGCCTACTAGCTGCGATCACACGCACAATTGACACCATCGGTAAATTCCTAGGCCTCCAAAATATCTCGACGTCTTCTGTTCCATCAGAACTTAACGAGTTGAGAATCGCAATGGCCTCCCCACTCCTAGTGTATGTCTTGCGCATCGCTCTTCCAGCCCTCTTCTACCAAGACATCAGAAATTCCTGCAGTGTTGCTGTATCCCGCCTGATCGATACCCTATTCGTCCCCGTTGTCTGCAGCTTCACTCTCGTATCCCGTGCACACGTCATGCACCATGTAGACACCAGCTTGGCTAAGAAGACGTCGAAAAGTCGCAAAGGAAATGAGAAGGTACCGAAACCTCCAAGCCAGATACCTGACGCTCGTATGGACCTCTTGACTCTTCTCGACGAGGCGCTGAATACGTTAGACTCAATATCACCCTGCCACTCTGGGTATACGGCTGGCATCAGGGAGCGCATAGCATTAGAGTCGATTCGGTCTCTAGAGTCGTTGTACTCTACAGGAATCACTGTCAGTGCCGACGGAACTATGGACAACGCAACCCTGGAGGACGCGTCTCATGGTCCAGAATCATCGCAGGCGTCGCATTCACACAGACGGAGAACTGTGCTCAGTAGAAAGGATAGGCTCGAGGCTCTCGCGCGGAAAGATGCGACGTGGTATCTGTGCCACATACTCAACTCTTCCATGAGCACAGGTGGACCGAAAGACGGGCCTGGATCTATGCTCAACGGTGCTCTTTTGGATGGTGCTGCAAGAATTGTGAAGATGTGCATCTCGATGGACTGTGACGGTGTTGCGCGAGTTGGAAGGAGTTGCGTCATGGATGTGATGTGTCGAAATATGGTCTTGGCCGCTTGTGAAAAGATATTCAGTGCCCTACCTCAAGAGAACCCTGGGCTGTAATGTATTGTAGATTTCCGCAGGCCCTTACCTGTGTTAATATTTAACAGCGTGTGGACGCAGGTATCCGTTGCCCAGAGTAGCCACGTGCGATTGTCCAGCTGTAATGGGTACTACTTCCAAGTAGCTTCGGTGAAGGAGGATGCGGTCTCAATCCACCGCATCTTGTAATTGTTTCATTTCCCACTGGATCCTTGGCTCTTTCTTTGCTCTTTTTTGGTGTCTTAAAGCATAAAAACCACCCCTGGTCGAGCCTCACTCAGTTGGGCTCTTCCGAACGCTGCTCCAGCACCCCGGTAGCAGCTGTTGTTCAGCATTCAAATATTCCTGCACCTGTAAGTGTTCATTCTCAAAATAGAACCTATCAATTCGGAATCGATCGTACGTTCCAGTGGCTCATCTCGATCGCCGGGCGGCATACGACACAGCTGGAAGAGAAGGACGAAGTGTGTAAATTTTCTCTATTCGTTTGTTCTTACACCGCGGCTGACCTGAGGCATGTGCTTGCAGGCAGAAGACGATTCAGAGGGGTCCGAATGCCAAAAGCTCCAATCATAATTTTTGACCAGGTAGCAAAAAAATACACTGAGCTATGAGGGACATAGTTCGCAACGAGGCCGATTAGATTGGCGCTAACATATAGGCAACGCAACTCGCTGCTATGCTAATTTATCCTCCTATCCAACAACAGACATCAGCGATGCACGAATGCGCTTCGCATGGAACACTCGTCTTCTCTGGTGGTCGAGAATTAACTAGTCAGCGCTTTGGCTGCGCAGCCTATGCTGTGTACAAGCTGTGAGGTGAACACGAGGATAAAGGTACCAGGAAGTTCAGGAAACAGTGAACTCGACTCTGACTTGATCCAAACAGTCATTGCTCCCTACCGTTCGCCCGCCACTGCTGTCCTTGTAAGTAATAGAGTTGGAATTGATTGATGAAAGCTGAGATGGCACTGCGCTGGGTGATAGGAAGTCTGGAGCACGTTTCCACCCGCCCCCAAAACGAAAGAGACATCAGCAATAACCCCTCGCCCAAAATTTGAAGGACACACTGATTGGGCCTGGGGGTTCATACACCTCCAAGGCGGACAGCAGATCATCACTTGTTCATGGGACGGCTTGCTGTGGAAATGGAACTTGGAGACCGGCCAACAAATAGGAGAAGACTGGCGGGATGGAGAGAGTGAAGTGCACAGGATAGCGCTGTCTTAGGGCGGGATGAAACTGGTTAGCGGGAGTAAGGATTGCGCATTGAGGTTGTAGGACATTGACACATGCAAGGTCATCATTCGATGGACGGGTCACACAGAGCTCATATCCTCTCTAAGCTGGAGTCGAGACGGTCGACGAGTGGTGAGCGGATCTGACGATGGGACTGCAGGGCAGACGTGGAAAATGGAGAGACTATAAACTAGCAGCTGATCGGATTTTATCATGACTCGGAATGGTTCGATGAATAAAATATATGGTATACTACAACATTTCTCACATTCAATTCTCCTCAGACACCATCTTCAGGAGGAAACCATAATGCATGTCTGGTAGTTCATGTTCAGAAGTGAGTATTATGTGGACCATTGCCAGATCCTTCAGTCATTTTTTATGTAGAACCCCTGCCCTGGATGTGCCAAAAGGCTGTAGAATCATGGCTAGCCAGTCCTTGGCCGGTGCATGTAGAATAGGTGCTGGCCAGTGTACTATCTGATTATCACTTGAGTATTGTTATTTAATGTAGGATAGGTACTGGCCAATGTATAATATGCCACTCTCTGACATGTAGGATGAGTGCCAGCCAGTATATCATATTGCCATCTCTTTTATCTTGTATGTAGGATGACTGCTGGCCAAGGTATAATATGCTAATCTCTGACATGTAGGATACATGCTGGCTGGTGTACAATGTAACAATTTCTTGTGTCTTGTATGTAGGATGACTGCTGGCTGAGGTATAATATGCCACTCTCTGACATGTAGGATGAGTGCCAGCCAGTGTATAATATAACCATCTCTTTTATCTTGTATGTAGGATGACTGCTGGCCAAGGTATCATGTGACAATCTCTTTTATCTACTCTGTTTGTATCATATTGATTGAGTGTAGCCATAGGATCAAGCTGGTTTGTATATGTAGGATATATCTACTACAGTCTGATTTCACTAGTAAACCAGCCATCCTTTATCTACACATGTAGGAGCCAGGCTGGCCAGTCTGTAGTTCTTAAATCAATACTGACCAGTGAGGCCTTATAGTGGGTAAAGGCATGGCCAGCCAGTACAGTATTATTTCATCAGTAAACCAGCAAGCCTGTATCTACATGTGTAGGAGCCAGGCTGGCCAGTCTGTAGTTCTTACATTAGACCTGGCTGGTGAGGCTCTGCAGTAGGTAGAGCCATGGCTGGCCAGCCTATATCTACATGTGTAGGAGCCTGGCTGGCCAGTCCAGTCATTATGCACCCCCATATGTAAATCTTGGGCTGGCCCCTTGTCAGTTCCTTTGCAAGTCTTATCCTGGCCAGATGAGGCCTACAGTACATAGCATTAAGCTGGCCAAAGCTCTATCACCATATCTCATTCAGTGTAATTTGCAGAAGTGTTGATATAGCATATCAAGGTACAAATCCACACCCATTGAAAGTCTTCTCAGCATCCTGAGAAAACCTTCCCCACATCAAGACCTGTTGATAAGCATAGGCTTGATGACCTGGTCTAGTTGCTTGCTGCCACCTTCTGTTCCACTCTTTCTGGTGATACTTGAACCAGTTGATGGTCCAACCCATTTCATGTCTTACCTGACTCAATTCTTTTTCCCATCTACTCCATCTAGCCTTTGCCTTCAACCAGTTGACTCTGTAGACTAAATCAGAGTGAGTTGAAATGACATGTACTTGAGATGAAATTTTCTTCTTACATTCATCCATCCAAGCATCTTCTTGACCTTTGTTGGCATTATTCACCCTCCAAAACCAAGCCAGTCTGTCTGACCCTTGTCCAAATATATTTTCTTCTGTCACCTCCTTGTCTATACTGAGTTCAGAGGGCAATATTTCTTGATAAATACTGCCCAAGGTAGCTTCTTCCATGCCTAGATGTTCCATTGCTGACCTTGCCCTCTGATAGCTTCTTACATATTTGTCAATTTTGAGCTGACATCAACGAGCTTCTTGCTTTGACCTGGTGCCAGCCCATGTAGAATCTGCACTCTGAAAATACTGATGATAAATAAGGGCCATGCAGAGGTTTTCCAGACAGTCATTGGCTTGGCCTTTTCGAAGCTCCAACTCTTCAGCTTGGAGGGGGCCCAGCCCAAGAGTCAATCCATTGTGTGGAGACACTGAAGATGGCATCCAGATACCCATCTCTTCTGTGAGGATTTCTTCATCTATATCCTCTGAGATCTCTTCATCTGAAACATCCACCCACTCATTACCATCATTATCCATATGACAGAATCTAGGATCATCAGAATGCACTGTTCCAATATCAAGATCCATGCCAGCAGTCATAGCATCAGCTGTTTCATGAAATTTGGCAATCCTAGCCGCCAATCTCTGCCATTTTTCTTCTATAGAAGTTTCCTGAGCAGAAGTTGCTGTATATCTGCTCTTAATGCATCCCTAAAATAGCACTTCATCAAGCCATTCTGCCATTCCAATCATCCAATCAATTACATACTGTAAATCCTCCAGATTGATACCAGTGATGAGCCAAGATACCATTCCTGGATGTCTGGTGTCATCATTCTCAGACTCAGTTAATTTGAGCCAAATCTCTGCCATAGTTGGGGCTGAACTCAGTTCTAGATTAGATGTCTTACAATTCTCAGACCCAGATGAAGCTCACTTACCTTTGTTAATCTGCAACTGGTAGATGTCAAGATATTCCCCATGTTCTTCCACAGCCTGTTTCTATTCAACTTCCCATATCAAAATCTTCTCAGGATTCAGAGACTGGGTCAATTCATCAAAAGGAGACTTTGTCTTATTAACGCCTTTGAGAGCACGTTTATACTTCGTCAAGAGAGTCTTTGCTAGAATTTTGAACATCAAGCATGGTTTTTGATATACATAATCATAATTGAACCACTTACTTATTCCAACTAATTTTTTCCAGTTTGAGTTTCTCATATGATCATCAAGAACTTCTTGACGATGAGCATGACTCATTGACCGAGCAGTTGGGGAGATCTTATTGAATGGTGCCCATAGGGTCTCCAAAATCTCCCCATCAACATGTCCAGCCCCTTGAACAAAGTTGAGGCTGTACCTTGCAAAGCAAGCTAATTTGTGAGTGCTCAAATGGAATTTTCCAACCACTGGGATGATTTGCATATTTTCTGGTATGGATAAGCCTCGGCTCTCTGCAACTCTTTGTAAAAAATTAATACTCCACTGGCACCCCATATCATAAATAATGAGAGAGGAGTCTATACCAGCCAAATGATAATTCAAAGCATTGCATATTGAATAGTCAATGTTCATGTGTCTAAACATCTTATGAGCTTGCTTAACATCCTTTTAGGAGGATGCACAGACCTTTCACCCTTCTGAAAATCAACTATGCTGTGTGGAACAAAACATCTGTGCCATGCACAAGCAGTTGCTCCCACCCCTGTCGCACAAAGATTACTCCTGTTGATATTGGTGGTATTGATCACCTGGTGATTGCTACAAGAAGAATGCTATATAGGCTGTCAAGCAATGTCATAATGCCCTTGCTACAAGCCAACTCACCTCCTTACTTTCTACAGCCAATGAGAGATGGCCTGATATTCTCTATCTTTCACCATATACCCAAGACCATCTGAAAGACTGATATCTAACTGCAGCATTTTCATAGTCATATGTTGAGTGGTAAAGTTTCCATCCACAACATATCTTTGTGAAATGAGCCAACTGTGTAAAGAATAAGTATAAGTTCAAGGAATGAGGTCAAATAAATAGAAGGTATGGCTAGCCAAGGCTTGTGTACTTGGCAAGCTAATGCAAGCAACAAAGTAGTCAAAGTGACTCTAGCCAGCTCATCTCTACACCAGCTCTATACAGCATTGACCAACAATGTATTTTCTGAGTTTAGCTGGCCAGCACAGTTCTGCATGCTGTCTATACAGTCCTGGCCAGCCAAATACAATATCAGAGTTTGGCCGGCCGGCCCAGGTCTACAGCCTGTCTATACAGTACTGGCCAGCTTTGTCAGAAACTAAGCCAGCAAGGCTAGAGTTTGTGTACAATGTGTATCACACAGCTGGCCAGTCAGTATAACATTCTTGAATGTTAAGTAGAAGAGAAAGCCAGCCCTCCTTACAATCCAAACCAACAACAGATGACTTTCCTTTCATACTTGTCTTGCCAGTTATCAGGTATGTTGATGCCAGGCTGAGGACATGAAGGGCAAAACCAAGCCAGATCATCCTTGCCAGGTTTCTCTTGAGTATCATGGCCAAATCCAAAGCATTTTTGGCTCATCAAGTCTCTCCATAGACGTGACACCCTCATGAGTTCCTGATATTGATTCTAGCCAGCAAAGATATTTGATATGGTCAGTCCAACTGTTGAGAAGAATAACTATATCCTCTCACAGGAACAGTATCTGGGAATGAGTGATTGGTCATCCACCAAATTTTCTCAAAGAAGCTTGATGCTGAAGTCTTGCACTCCAGCACATCAATTAGAAAATGATCTAAGACTTCAAATGTGAAGGCAGTCCAGGGTTGAGTGATGCTTGCAGGAAATAACCTGGCCTTCAGCAACTGCAAATGCTGCCGATGTTGAGACCCAGGACAACCACACCAAACAATGTTGTGCAAAAACACTCTAGTTGAATGTATGATGGTCAAGGTGGATGTTGTAGTTGAACTGGAAAATGTCTCCATCAGCACAGACCCAGCCTCTGTATCCACTAGCATATCCTCCCATGCCTGTGGGTCTTCAGAAAATGGACATGGTTGCCTCCCATGGCCCATATACCAGACAAAACCCAATTCTTCAAGCAACTTGTCTTCAAAGCAATTTCTGGTCCACTCTTGAACCTTGTGAAAGGGCAAATGCTGGTGGGTTTTGACAATGCAAGGATGACACAATGTCTGATCCCCACTGCAGGTCAAACAATGGAATTTCCCTTCACCGATCTGACAAGACTGGCACTCCAAGATGTCAGAGGGCTTCTCTTAGTCGAGGAGGATATTGAGGTATGAGTCTCGGAAAGGCAGATATTGTTGGATAAAGTCATTCTGAGTCTAGTTCAATTGATCTCAATTGAGTATAGAATTAAATTGCCATGCATCAATCCATTCACCTTAGTTTTTCTTGGTTGGTTCTCTGTATATGAAATAAAGTCACTGAAGACTTCTCTATCAAATTCCTCCTGAATGCTTGACAACCATTGAGTTTCCTCTCTGACCTGTTTACGAGGGCTAGAGGAAGGAGATGGTATTGGGGCAGTGTTGTAGAGGGCATCAGCACACAATTCCACCCAGGTCATCTTTCTTTTCTTGCCAATGACTTGTTTGTGAGACACATAGGCAATGTCTAGGTCCTTGCCTTTGGATAATTGACCTCTTCCTTTGAAGGAAAATGTAGCTGCCTTGAGTTGATTTTTTTTGGGAGAGACACACTGTTACTAAGGCAAAAGAGGATATCCTTAATGTTTTAATTGTAATAGACAAAATCATTCATAGAAATCACTCAACTACTACCTCATTAGATCTAGTACCTATACTCAAACACTAGTATTATCCCCTTTACCCCCCCCTCCTAGAATATCCACTCCCTTACTGCTATCTCACCTTACCCCCTTGCCTGTTAAGGTCATGTGCTCAAGGGGGTTGGATCACAAGGGCTTGGCCTCAGCTCGTATGCTGTGCCCCTTTCCCAAGTATGTGCCCTTAATTTCTGGGGGCTAGAGCAGTCATCCAGAATTTCTGGGATTTGACTAGGATGGACAATGGACGTCTGGATCTGAAATGTGAGATAAATCTGATGGATGTCCAGATGTTACCTGGGCAAGCGGATAAGACTAATCTGGATGAAGTCTGGACTAGAAACTAACAGAGGATAGACTATCTTAAGGTAGAGTCGGGAATGTAGTCTAGGATGCAATCCTAAGACTTGGAATATGACAAGAGACTTATCTTGAGTCCAGAGGACACAGGAATGAGCAGGAACTAAGATGATATTCGAACTGGAGTGTTTCTGAGAGTTACAGGAGGTTTATATACTGTAGGTATCATATAGGAATCAATCAGCAAACATAAAGGCTATGTATGAAGCATATGCAAAGTCTATTAGTAAGTAGGACAGATCACAAATAATGAACACTGGAAATGAAATGTATGTAACGGATTAATAATCAGGAGGGAAACATGGTTAACTGGAGTCTGGAGACAGGGGAAGTCTAAATGGGGTTGGGTGCTGATATAGGGTTTGGATTCTGGAAGGAAGATAAAGATAGATCAGATCATTTGAGATCTGGAGAAGCAGATTTAGAGTTGAGAGTCCAGAATGGCATATGACATTGCCCCACTATCTTTAAAAAAAAAGCTTGTGTTGGAAAGGCTGGTCTTGATACTTCAACTCTGGAGTGTATTTTATCCTTCATAAAATGGGCAATAACAAGCCTTTCTCCTTCACCCCAGGGACCAATAGAGTGTTGTAGAACCTTCCCTGAAATAAAGGTCATTGTCCTAGGGTAATAATCCAGCTCCGCCCCTATGTTGGCTAACACTAACTTAGCCTTATGGCCACTACCCAAACTGATCAGAAGATCAAAGAGGGAAGGCACACCACCAATGTCCCTATGTGATAAAGTTGTACGGTTTGCAATTATGTCTAATCCTGAGAAGATTGAGGGCCAATGAGAGATGGGTGCTGACACTGGTTTATCAGATTCTTGAAGTTCCTGTACAACTCAGCTGTGTTACAAACTAGGATGGTCGTAACAACAGCAACTTGATAAGAGTGATGGCTGAAGTTATAGTCAAGACCTTGCAAATACAAGGGTTGTAAGACAAGACGAAGAGAGTGTCTCTGGCTTGAATATCGGTTCAGACGTCTTAGGATTGGAGATCCTAAGTGAGAGAATGTTCAGGTGAAAACCTAGTAAGATTAAAGTAAAGAACTACTAAGTACATTGTTGACTATATATAAGGTCATAGGCAATTTAGGGCAGGTGTAAGTCAACAATGAGTCAGAGATAAGAAATGAGTCATCTAGCGACAGCAGTGGTGATCGTGATGTAATACAAATATAGGAGATCAATGAGTCAGAGATAAGAGATGAGTCATCTAGCGATGGCAGCAGCAATCATGATGTAATACAAGGATTAGTAAGGAGAAAATGAATAGGGGCATATGTGACTGTAACAGGCTGATTGCAGTGGCCCCTGCTTCAAATAGATCAGGAGCTGAGGCAGCAGTAATGGCATCCCAGAAGAATTCTGTGGTTGACAAGGCAGCTAGCCACTCTTGGACTTCAACAGACATGTAAGAAGCTAATGTCACCATCAGGTCTTGAAGTCTCTGTTGCCAGAATGCGTCAAAAGCAGCTAAACAAGTTAATTTGACCAATACCTCATGTCTTTGCATAAAATATGCTGGTGATACTGTAATTCTGCCTGCCCCAAATTCTCCACCTTCCTCTGGGATAACAAAGCCTTGAGATTGCCAAGACAATTTGTCCGAGGAGGATGGAATTGATTGAAGAAGGACATTATGTAAAGCCTTAGTGGCTGAGTTAACATGATCCTAAAATAATTATAAATGACAAGAATCCGAGTGGAAGAATGAATGTACATACAACTTGAGAAGGTGACAGAATATTGGGCAAGTAAATTGTCACAATATTACCCCCTTTGTCCACAATGGTAGCTGGGACTGAAATTTTGCCAATCTTAGCCACTGCAAAGTACTTTTGTAGCTGTTCAGTTTCAGAGGGTGAACCATCAGGATTAGGTGGGGATGCCTTGGCCATGTCAGCAAATCTTGTGATGTCCCAATCTACATAATCTGCTCCCTGAATTTGAATCTGGGAGATATTATTGAAAGCAATATAACTCACAAGGGTTTACTACTGCATATGAAATTGTGAGCACAGCCCAATTGATCTCATATTTGGAGATTGAAGAATTGTTTGAGCAGACATCAGCTGTTGCCAAGCAATGATTTAGCTCCAATCCAATCCTCTGCCTTGACAAGAATGGGTGAGTTTCCACCTAATCAGTGAAGTGCTAAATATAAAATGTACCTTGCTTTGTTTAGAAGGTGAGTTTGTACTATCTTCCCTTTGATGACACCGGTTGCTGCAGAATGCCCCATAATTGCCTTGATCCATGTAGTCAGAGCCATTCTTAGCTTGCTTGATTCACTGGTTAGCTGGTTCATGTCCATGTTGGTGAGAGGCAAATTTTTCAACCAGCTCCCATGGCACTAAGTGCCTGAGTATTATTTTATGTAATATGACTCAAATTAGTGATATATGAAATGATTCTCAAAGAATCTACTGATAAGAACAATGATGTGACTGGCATCAAAGTGCTTATGCAATTTACATAATGGAAGTTTAGCTAAATTGGCAATTGACACAAAGCGATGCCCTGAGTCTTGTAACAGTGTCGCCAGTAGCAGATTTGGAGGGTTTTGAGATTTACTGCTGGAGAAATCTAATAATAAGCCACAAGATGTGCAATACAAAATGGGAGGTGGCAACTTCATAATGGAAATATTAACAGTGTCTGGCATGAGTAGGGGGTTGGTTAACCACAAGTATCTATGCATTACAGGGTATGGTGAAATATTCCTCCTAGATAAGTTGGCCACTTGACCAGCCTTGATATGTTTGTGTTTGCTTGATCCAATTAATCAGTTTGTCCCGCCACACCTTGTGGGTAAGGGGTTGGTTAACCATGCCAGGTGTGGGCAGTTGGTTGAGCACACCACCAATATTTCCAATATGAAATAGCAGGGGGCACCTTCATACTGGAAGTATTGGTCTGACTTCTCAGTGAAGTATTTCACTGAGTTGTGTGGGTGAGGGGTTGGTTGGGCATGCCACCAATACTTCCAATATAAAATCACAGGGGGCACCTTCATATTCATATTGGAAATATTGGTCTTTCTCTGTGAAGTAGTTCACTGGGTTGTACAGGTGAGGGGTTGGTTGAATGACACCAATATTTCCAGTATGAAATAGCAGGGGGCACCTTCATACTGGAAGTATTGGTCTGAATTCTTGGTGAAGTTGAGTGCCACCAATATTTCCAGTGTGGCACCTTCATACTGGAAGTATTGGTCTGACTTCTTGGTGAAGTTGAGTGCCACCAATATTTCCAGTATGAAATAGCAGGGGGCACCTTCATACTGGAAGTATTGGTCTGACTTCTCGGTGAAATATTTCACTGAGTTGTGCAGGTGAGGGGTTGGACTAGCAGTAGGATACAATACTTTCAACCTCAGCAAATCAAGCTGTCCATCCTGCCAGCAAGCTATCAATTTCCTTGTCTGCAGCTGTTTTGAGTTCACTTGTGGAAAAGTCATTCAGTGCGCATTAGGTTGAGCTCCTCTCAAGTCATCTTCACATGATCACGTGACATTTTCAACCAGCAGCAAATTGCATGTCAAAGCAAGACAAGTTTCAATTCTAAGAGTTGTGCTAAATTTACTACAAACATGAAAATTGTGAAGTAAAGGTAATGGGGAGCTGCAAGACTTTGATGAGGGGGCCCTCCTCAACAAAGCCTTGCGCTCAAAGTGAAAGAGTACATAGCAAAAAAACTAATTATACTACTACTACTTTGTCCTGTGTCAATGTTAGATAAACCTTTGAAAAGAGAGATTGAAGACTTAACTAAGCAAAGCACCTATTGTGAAACTCAAAGTCCTATGCCAACCACATCAGCTAAAGTCTTATCAAAGGAGAGTGCTTACCAGAATAAAGAAAGAAAAAAAATTCTCATAGTCTGACAGAGCATGCAGAAGAAAAGCACATGAGTCAAAGTCACATTGAAGGAGAGCACTTACTGGAAAAAACAAAGATAACTTTGCCCATAAGGACAAGCGCATCAGCCAAGTTCATACAGAGGAAAGAGTGCTTGATAAAGGGAGTAAGGTTTAGTCAAGAAGGCGACAAGTGAAAGTGCTTACTGGAATGAATATGCAATGCTAATCCAAATGCTGCTACTAGAGTACTCAGTATCAAATAGCAGGAGCCACTGACAAGTGGGATGCACCATGAACAAACAACTAGCAGGAGCTGCTGACAAGCAGGATACACTGCCAGCCCTCAATCTCAACACAACACTGCTAGTCCCCAGTATCAAATAGTGGGAGCTATTGACAAATGGCCTGCACTGCCAGCCCCCAGTCTCAACACAGCACCACTAGTCCTCAGTATCAGATAGCGGGAGCCACTGACAAGCAGCATGCACCACATGATCCACTGGTCCCATAATGCTAAGCAGAAGAAAATTAGCTAGACAGCACCAGAAAACAAGTACTTACCTTGAGGAAAAGTACGCTGACAAGCAGGATGCACAGTCCCATAATGCTAAGCAGAAGGACATTAGCTAGATGGTGCTAGAAAAGAAGTACTTACCTTGAGGAAAAGGCGCTGACAAGCAGGATGCATGGTCCAATAATGCTAAGAAGAAGGAATTAGCTAGACAGTGTCAGAAAACAAGTACTTACCTTGGTGGAAACCAAGGAAAAGATAGTACATGCAAATACAAAGAATTAGTAAGGACACGCACAAGAATATGTTGACTTACTATTTGGAAAGGCTACTGTAGAGTAGTACCTTTGAATTCTTGCAGCTGCAGCCTGCAAGAACCCAAAGGAGTACACTAACAGTAGCCTTGCAATAATGGTGTGCAAAGAAATGAAGTTGGTGAAGGGAAGAAATGAACTGTGAGAATTGAAGTTGAAGTTCATATTTGCATGTCAGTTTGTCCTTGTTTGTTGATAAACAAACATCAACATTGGACTTCAACAAATTCAATGTGACACATCTATTTGTGCATCAGTTTGTCCTCACCACTTTCTAAGTACTTGTACAGCACTCTCTCTTGACAAGTTGACATTTGTTTGTCCTCTATACTTGTGAGTGCCATTTCCTTTGCATCATTTACTAATTTGAGCATTCTACTAGTACCGTCTCTCTAGTCTTTGCGCCCAATTTTGCAGTCTCTTTGCACTGTATACTTGTAAGTGCTAGACTTTGTGTGATCTACTAATTTGAACTTTATTTATTAATAGGTCTTTCACATCTTAATCTCGCACTATTGTGAAGTCAAAACAAACCTGCAAGAAATCAACTGGCAGCACTGCACCATGCATCACTTTAGAGCTGCCAGTCACAACTGCAGTTCCTGTGGTACAGGAGGTTGGAATTTCCAAGCTGTTCATGCACAACAAGGTATGTGCATTTCTGCATACTTTTTTTGCACTAATGCACATCTTCTTTTGCAGTTTTGTCTTGTTTGCCAAGATGGTTGTATTGAGTGTGATTGACTCTTCTTGTGCAGCACATGCCCTAGGGTGATGTGCTCATGCTGCATGGAGATTCTGTCCACAGGTGCAGATGCAATTGACACAGATGATGTCACATTTGTGTGCATTTCTTGTCATGTTGGAGGAGAATGACATGGATGCGAGTCATACTTGCCATATTTTGTGAGTTTTTCATTTATTTATTTATTCATTCTAACTAACATCCACTTTAATTTGTAGGGATTTTACTGGAGGGACAAGCTGGTCTTTTCATCCTTCCTCCCTATCTGTGCTACTCTGGAAGTCTCATTCAAGTCCTAACTCTCTTCAGCACCTATCCTCATGGTCCATCTCATCCTTGTTAATCATGACACCACCAGCAGTTGTGTCAAACTTGCCTCTGACTTTCTTTGCCCCTACTTTCCAGCTGGTGGATTCAAATTTTGCACTGTCACATTCGACATCAGCAATTCCTTGAAGATCACAAGGTACCAGGCCAAGGCAAGCGCAGTTGTCCAGGAACTGAAGTCCAACTGGACCTGTGTTGTTGTTGCCATGACTAATCACACCAATAACAACAACGGTGATCTGTTTATTGGGTACAAAGGGAAGAAGAAGGCATACGTTTTGGCATGCGTTCACACCATAAGCAACTGCTCTTGACTCTCATGGTACTTGCTCACCGTCACTTGACTCCAAAGGTTCTTGAGATCCTCCTGTTGCCTTGGCAGTCTGTCATTGACGGTGCAGAAGAATCATACCTGTGGCTTTTTGCATGCAGCGCACTCATCAACAAGCCCATTGCATTTGGGTGCCTGCAACAGGCAGTGATAAAGTATGTACTGCAGTTGTCCTTTGCTTCTTCAATACTAACTTTGTACACCAGCCATTGCATGACAGCTACCATTGGCTTCAACGCTGTCTGCTTCCAACCCAGTTTTGCAACCCACCTGCTGCTGGCATTTATGGAACTTGTCATTATCAAGTGCTTGTCCATTCGGGTGGCCTTCCCCAAGATGGTGGGCCAGTCCTACAAACTGGGATGACACAGTGACATGTTCTTGCTGGTGCCTGTTGCCCCTGATTTGTTGGCCATCATGAAGTATTCATGGATGCATCATGAACTTCGCCCTTGGGGTCAGTATCTCCTGGTCCAATGCCCAGATTGTGGGTGGACTAATGCCTGGCACTCCATCAACAAGAGCAAGACTTACTCCTTTGAATGCAAGAATCAGTGATGCAGGAAACAGTATCTGTTCTCACAACCGGCTGGTTCAAGGATACTTCTCCCAGGAAAAAGACCAGGTACATGCTGGATTTCAATTGATCTGGATCCCACACCTGGTATCCCTGATGATATGCTTGGTGTATCTTGAGTTTTTTTTTCGCATTTTTACATCTCATGTCATTGAATTTTTGTGGCACATTTTGCTTGTTTTGGATTACCCCTAGTTAGAACTTGGAATCTGATTATTTTGATTGACTCATTTCTACTATACCTGTTGAAGTCCATAACCTTTGATAATGTGTTTGATCTTTGTGGTGTCTTGTGATTGTGTCTGAGTCATGTGATCACAAGTTGACTCGTTGATTCATTGAATTTCATTCTGATTTGAAAGAACATGGTCACATGTTAATGTTGAATACTCATATTCATTGTCAAATCATTGTTATCAGCTGGCCGCCCTTATACCACATGTATGCATCTACCTGCAATTTCTATCAAATTTGACTCTCTGTTTTTTTTGAATCCATTACAATGTCTTCTGAGTGGACTGCTACCTTCAAATCAATTCTGGATCTTCACCACAAGGACATTATATATGTGGAATCAAAATCTGCTCAAAGACCTGTGGTGAAGAAAGTTCGCAAGGCTATACTGGCCACTTGTGAGGAACAAGAGGAGGATGTGCCCTTGCCTACTTCCTTGACAAAGGTAACAATTGTCTAATTATGTAGGTATATTTATTTATTTGATCTAAATGAATGCTATGTATAGGGGATAAAACAATACTATATCCAAGACAAGGAAGAGGTGGATGAACAAGAGGCTGCAAGCCGTCCAAGAGAAGCATCATTCTACAAGAAAACCCTGTCTGAATGGGATGTTGCACAGAAATTATTCAAGCAGGAAATTGATTAGTATGACAAGGCCAAGCAGCAAAGGAAAGGCTTGGAATGTTCAATTAAGTATCAGACTGGACATGCCAGGGAATGGTTTGACAACATGACATTTTCACAAGAGGAGCAGGTGAAGTTTGCCATGTGTTAAGTTCATACTCAAGGTTTAATGGATCCTAAGGGCTTTGGCCTCAGCTCATGTGCTGTGCCCCTTACTCGAGTATTGCCCCTTATTTCAGGAAGGCAAGACTAACGCATCCGGAGGGTTGGACGGGTAGTGTAGTGGATCTGGATGACCTCCAGATGCAGGATAAGTATCATAAGGCTAATCCGGACAAGTCCAGACTAGAAACTAGCAGTAGTGACTGTCATAGACAGAGGCAGATGTGGATAGATTATAGGAATCAATCCTAAGTCTCGGAGGGTGATGAGAGTAGAGATACTCAGGTCCAGAGGACAGGAATGAGCAGAACTAAGTTGATATTCGAACTGAGGTACTACAGAGAGTTATAAGAGGTTATATACTATAGGTATCTAATGGAATGATCAATCAGCAGAGTCCAAGGCTATGTACGAAGCATATGGATGGTCTATTGGTAAGTAGAAATGGATCACAAATAATGAAATGGAAATGAAGCATAGGTAATGGATCAGAGAGCAGGACAGATATACAGATAACCAAAATACCAGAGTTAGGGGATTACTGAAAAGAGATGAGCACTAGTTGTGGATTCAGATGAATTGTGGGCTGGACCAGATGAGTGGACAGATTGGATGACAAGATGTTGGAGGGAGATAAGATGTGGATCAGATCTGAGATGAGATAAGGATCAGATCTGAGATCCGGATATGCAGATATGACACCATGAAGAAATGGAACAAGGAGGGTGCACCAGAAGAAAGTCAAGCTTCATAAGTTTGACTTCATTATCAGTGTTGTTCAAGTGTCTGAGTCTCACTTACATCAAGGTACTGTAAGAACAACCTCAAGAAAACTCTTGAGGACTTTTCAATGCAAATCCAGTGTACCATGGGTTGTCATGTGGTGATGCTCATGAGTCACAAGAAAAAAGCTAGTCAGACATTGTCTGTTAGTTTGTAAGTAATCAAATTGTCTTGGTTATCTCAAGGCTAACTAGACTATAGACATGAATCTGAGCCTCAAAATGCCAAGAAGAGGTTCTCCATCAGCTCAAACAGTATCAAGGAGTGGACTTCCACTGGATTTGAATCCTTCACAGAATGGTCCAAGACCAAATTTTGTATGAGTCTCGTTTTATTTTACAGTATGCTGACTGATTGTTCACTCAATTAAATTGATAGACCCTTCAGGGGATGAAGACCACACAGGTTCAGACAATGAGGATGATGAAAATGGCCCCATCATACCTGAAGTTATACTAGATGATGATGTGTATGCAAAACTTCTGACTTGTGATGGCATTGGCCTCAAGGGCCGACATGAATTGATTAGAAGCATATTTCATGCTTCTTACAGTAAGATCTTATGTCTTCATTATGTGTCACATTTGATTGATTCTTTGGTTTGTAGAAGTATGCACAGGTGGCTCTAGACCTGTGCCTTGAGGCACAATAACTGCCAACTCATCCAATTATTTGGAACCTGACTCAGTTCCCACTGGATTTGTGGCCAAAGACCCTTCTCATATGAAGACTGAGAAGGTAAATTGTCTATGGAATCATTGGGAATGATGGTCTGCTGCTGGACAGAAGCTAGTCAGGTTTATCAAGGCCAAGGACAGTGATGTCCATGCAAACATTCATAATGAAGAACAAAAGAGGAAGTCCAAGGAGAAAAGAGTAAGAAGACTTGAGTCAGCTGAAGAAGACCAAGATTGGCCAGTTTCCTTGAATGACTCTAATTCCACAGAACATAGAGTCTAGCCAGCCACTTACAGTAACAAAGCTGAAACAACCCCAGATGACATTTCAATCAATGACTGATATATATTTTTGGAATCTCTTTGCAAGCATGACAACTACCTGGAGCTTATAGACACCATTAGGGATCTGGCAATCTTGGCCAATCAAAAGGTTAGCATGACTGTGTATTTTTTTTTATCTCATTGCTCATTTGTCCACTAGCCGAGTTCAAAGCAGCATGCAGATTTGCCTACCTGGGCTGACTGGTCTTTGGGAGGTTCTTATCTTCCTGAGGACGTGCACATGTCCTACACCATATTGAAGGCCAGCTTGAACAAGCTGCAAACATTTGTAATCTCTGGGGTGCCATCTGCAATGCCAGTGGTTCTAGGAATTGGGCTCCTCTATAGGGAGTCTAAGTGAGTGATAGAGTTTGAGGAAGATGAAGCTGCCTCCAATACTCCTTCCTACCTACCTGGTTCTGTTTTTGATCTACAGTTCTTGGTTGCTCTGGACCAGGCTGTCCAGGAAGTCTTGTCCAAGGTCATTGAGCACATTGAGAGGCTGACCAAAGAGGCACTTGATGAGGATGACAACATCCAGGATGAAGGTGAAGTTGGAAACAAGGAGACTGAGATGGAAGTGGACCAGCAGGAGCAAGAGCAGGAGTAGGAACAGGAGCTGGAGCTGGACCAGGACCAGGACCAGGAAGAAGTTGATGAGGTGGTGCAGAAAGGGACCAAGAGAAGAAAATCACAAGCTTCAACAAGTAAGTCTAAAAAGCCCAGGATGGAGCCTGAAGTCTGTAGATCAGGTAGGGCAAGGCAACCTTCTAAGAGAGCCCAGAGGATATGACCTTGGTTCCTCTTTTCATTGCTGATCAAGCTCATACATATGTCTACTTGTCAATATTTAGGTTAAAATCAAAGTACTGCAGAACCCCACTGGCCAGTTTTAATGTAAGAACTACAGACTGGCCAGCCCAGCTGCTGTGATAAGAAGAGCAGGAGGGATGAGGAGTCTATTGAACAAGTACAATCTCAGTGTCTTGGAAAAGAACTGAGATGCCAGTACACTGCTGATGGCGTTTTTAAGGTAAGTACATTGACAACCATAATGTATTAAAACGAAACAGAAAAATAAAGTAGGAAGTGAGCCAACATCACTGCATCACTCGCCCTTTGTCCCTTTTCAGCTTGTGCTCATACCTCTACCTCTCATTACTCACTGTGTGTGCCTTGCTCGGATCCATCAGTCTTCCTTGTCTCAGAACTCTCGGATTCCAACACCAGCTCCTACATAGGTATGTATATTGGTCAGCCATGCATCTGCCTGATGCAGAGCCTTACTGGCCAGTTATAATTTAAGAACTACAAACTGGCCAGGATGGTTCCTAAATATGTAGATGCAAGGCAGCCAGTATTCTAAGAAACAGCACTGCACTAAATATCCTACAGTAGTCTATCAAAGGTAGCGGGGTATGTGACTCAGAGACTAGCCAGCACTTATCTTACATGTAATATACCTAGCACAGGGGTAGGAAGGATAATAAATTGGGCTGGCCAGCAACCACCTTACATCTACTGGCCAGTCATGCTTTTACAATGTACTAGTCTTTTATACATAGTGGGATGTACTACAATGTTGGCCAGCATGTATTCTATGTTGACTGGCCGAGGACTGGCCGGCCATGGTTATACAGTGTTTTTGCACATCCGGGGCACCAGTTCTACGTAGGGAAATGACTGAAGTATGTGCCATCGCAGCGCCACGCGGTACGTAACCTTCCCATCAAGCACGGAGTAATCGAGCACCATGTAAAAGGTGAAACTTAGAGAGACAGGTGTGCTTATGTAATGGGATAATCTCTATCCTTTGACAATGAGCATACGAGCACCACGGAAAGGCGAAAACTATGAGCTCAGTGTGGATCTCAACAGCGAGTACCGCGATAAACGAAAAGATGCGATCAAGCGGGTCATAGCATCTATGACCGTTGGCAAAGGTGCCGCACTTTCTCGTTTGATCTGCTCACTGCGCTTAACACATCCCCAGACGTCAGCGGCTTGTTCCCCGATGTCCTCAAGAATATGCAGACAGATGACCTGGAACAGAAGAAGCTCGTGTATCTATATCTCATGAACTATGCAAAGACACAGCCAGAACTCGTCATATTGGCCGTGAACACCTTCGTCAAGGACTCCGAGGATCCTAACCCTCTCGTACGCGCACTGGCAATTCGAACCATGGGATGTTTGCGTGCAGAGAAGATTATAGACTATCTGTGCGACCCTCTTCAACGCGCCCTGCGAGATGACAATCCGTATGTTCGAAAGACTGCTGCACTCTGCGTTGCAAAGTTGTATGATCTCAAGCCCGAACTTGTCATCGAGAATGGTTTCTTGGATCAGCTTCGTGATATGATTTCAGATAGCAACCCTATGGTAATGTTGTAATTTTCTGTCTTACCGAACAGGCTTCTTATCTGTGTTTAGGTCGTAGCAAATACAGTTGCGGCGCTCACAGACATCCACATCTCAGCAACCTCCAACCAACCATCTGATTCTACTTCCGACCCCGCTGTATTCTCCATCACCTCCGCTATGCTGAACAAACTGCTCATTGCCCTCAACGAGTGTTCAGAATGGGGTCGAGTCGCAATCTTGAATGCTCTGGCACGGTATGAGGCACAGGACGACAAAGAGAGTGAGCACATCTGCGAGCGCGTCGTACCTCAATTCCAGCATGTAAATGGTAGTGTTGTTCTTGCCGCAATGAAGGTACACAGTGTCGCTCATCCGGCCCTTGTCATGACTTGACCTTCGCATCTCAAGGTCATCATGATCCACATACGCAATGTTCGACGAGACGATCTTGTTAAGCAGTTGATTCGCAAGATGGCACCACCACTCGTCACCCTGTTATCGTCCCCGCCCGAGGTACAGTGGGTCGCGCTGCGGAATATCAACCTTCTCCTTCAAAAACGATCCGACCTCCTTTCGAACGAAATGAGGGTATTTTTCTGTAAGTACAATGACCCGTTGTACGTCAAGATCGAGAAGCTTGATATCATGGTCCGATTGGCCAGTGATAACAACGTGGATGCTTTGTTGAGCGAGCTGAAAGAGTGAGTCACCCCAATTTCTGTAGTTTGCATCGCTGACCGTGCTGGTCAGATACTCGTCAGAAGTTGACGTCGATTTTGTCCGGAAGAGCATCAAAGCCATCGGCCAGACAGCTATTTCAATTGAGAGCGCAGCGGAACGTTGTGTGAACGTGCTGTTAGAGCTCATTAACACTCGCGTCAGCTATGTGGTCCAAGAAGCCGTAGTCGTCATGAAGGTGCGCAGTGATGTGCGGTTTCTTATAGCACCCTAATGATATGCCTTTTAGGATATCTTCAGGAAGTACCCTTCTACATACGAAGGTGTAATTCCTACACTCTGCGCTAATTTGGAAGAGCTGGATGAGCCAGAAGCAAAAACGTCCTTGATTTGGATTATTGGCGAGTATGCCGACAAGATTGACAACGCAGATGAACTGTTGGGGATATTTGTGGACTCTTTCATTGAGGAGTCGTACCAGGTATTTGACTGCGTTATCTTATGCTTTTGCCACAAGTCCTGATCTTACGCAACAGGTCCAGCTTCAAACGTTAACTGCAGTAGTAAAGCTGTTCTTGAAGAAGCCTGACTCGTCCCAAGGAGTCGTTCAGCGTGTGCTGAATACAGCAACGAAGGATTGCGATTCACCGGATGTGCGGGACCGCGCTTACATATATTGGAGACTCTTATCAACAGACCCTGGCGCAGCCAAGGTGCGAACGATCTCTGAGTCTTAGTAAATGGTGCTTATCAACTTAACCTAGGCTGTTGTCCTTGCCCATCGGCCACCAATATCTATCCCGAGAACAACAGTTTCGCCCGCGTTGCTTGAGGAGCTCCTCGGCGAGATATCATCATTAGCAAGTGTTTACCACAAACCTGCTCAAACCTTTGTTGGTCATGGACGGGTCGGTGCCGATTCAGTGCAACGCAAAGGATCAGAGTGAGTGCCCACTAACCAGTTTTGTCTGTTTCTACTGAGTTGACGACACTCATCATGTAATTATAGAATCTCAGATGCTCAGAAAGCCCTCCAGACGGTTGTTGCCGGCCAACAAGCAGAGAACCTTCTCGACTTTGGTGATGATTCTGCTCAGGATGGGCAGCCTTCCGGGCTCGCCGCCACCCAAATACTTCCCTCGACACCCGCTGCAGCAAATTTCCTGTCAGGCACTTCTGCGAATCCACTAGACGACCTCGTGTCGATCTTCGGTGGTATGGAAACTATGGAGACAGGTGCAGGATCACTGTCAACGGCGCTATCGCCGACGACGACAACCATGTCCTCACCTTTCGAGGGATTTGGAGGGTCACCAGCGCCATCCTCCCAGCCGGCTCAGAATGCGCAGCCCCAGGAGGATTTGTTAGGGTTGTTCTAGCATACTTGGCATCGCCATGTGCATGTACATATGATATTCACTCGGTGGCGTTAGCAGCTTTCCACGTATGGTACACATACATGTCTAGTCGATATTTTCTGTTTGAGGAATGGATGGGCTATTCATACGTATCGCGAGGCGTTCGTGGCATGCAGTCAAGCACGGAGTCTAAAACTGCGTTGCCCTTCTACTTCTGAGTTGGAAGTTTTCTCACCCCGGCTCAGCTCTACGACTGTGATCCTGACCCTCTATCGGTTCCGAGATCAATCGATCATAATCCAGACGGGTGATGTCAAGCTTCAACGAATGATTCTGTCGGATGTCCGTGCCCTGTCAAATCGGTGATGTGCTACTGGGGCTGTGCGGTAGCACTTCCATTTCGACCTTGTGTTATTTGCACGTGGTGGATTAAGGAACTGAGGCCTGAGGAACAGCGACCATTACGGAGATGGATTGCGCGTTGCATATACGTGACGGTCCCAAAGCGCTGGTTGCCCGACAGGCTACAGCTTGTTCCATGTGTCGTAGCGGATGGCATATCGGGCAGATCATGACTCTGCTTATTGAACTGAGTCACCCATCCTGTCGGACGCCGACTTCTCTTGTATCAATCGACGTCGATTCGAGTTCTTCCAGCAGGTCATCGACCTTTCCGCATCCATTTTTCCAATTTGTATTTGTTTCCTTCCTCGACCACTTTTTGTCCCCATGCATTTCTGCTTCTGGATGGGTGTTTTCTTCACGACCCTACCTGAGACATCTCTCGGAGTAGCTTAATGTTGATTGCCAAGATTAGCCGCTGCATGCCTTTGGCATGGAAAGCTATGTTTATGGACATGCAGTATCAGGTACCTGCGGCAGGCAGGTGAGTATATCTTGGGATGTCTCTCAAATTGATCTAGGTTGCTCCATGCCCTCCTCGCGCATTTTTTTTGCACGCTGGCCTGAGGAACCAAACGAGCCTGCCCTTGCAGCTTCAAGTGTAAGGGGGATCTATTTAATGTCTGCCGATCTGATTTGATATAAGAGCCTGTATCTGTAAGTTCATTCGTCCTCCCTTGCACGCTCAGACGTAGACGCCAAACGTGAAAGGCTTTTGTGCAGTCACGATGATGAGGTCCCTCCAAATCTTTTGTTCCCTGGCGCTGTTGCAGGCAGTTGCGTCGCAGCAGATTTGGGACATCGTAAG